TAAGATGATTTTTAAAAGCCTGAGGACTGACCTAAGATGCGATTGTGTGAACTCTGTCTACCCTGGAGGGTGGGAAGGATGTCAGCGGAAGTTTGAAGACTTTTTTTTTGTGCCATCAGATACAGGTAAGAATAATTGGGCAATTCTGCTGTTTAAACAGGAACGATTGGCCTCCTTGGCCCTAAATAGAAGGGCTGATAGGTTTTTTTTTTTTTTTGAGATGGAGTCTCGGTGATTTGTAGCGCGACAACTTCCCACTGGGAGTGGCGACGCCCAGCCTCGCCTGGCGTTACCTGGTGAGGCTGCGCACATTCTGACCCTGCGACCCAGCAATTCCTCTTCCCAGGAGCAACAGTCCCCAGCCTGTTGTCCCTGGATTCCAGGGGGTCCACAGGCAAGGCTACTTTTATAATAACACGACGTTACTGCCTTTTCCACTGTGTTGAAATTTGCACTGATGGTGCAAAAGCAATGGTGGGGAAAATTGTCCAGTGGAAGAAAAAAGGGAGTGTGACTTAAGAATGTCCTAAATGAGGTAAAACTTGTAACTTTTATTCAGTCTAGATTTTCGAGATTTTCCATATTCTATGTGACATAACGGTTTGTGCACACGAAGCCCCTCTGGTGCATACAGAAAGCGTGCTTGTGGTTGAGGGAAAGCACTTCATTCACATGTGAGCTGAACGGGCCACTGTTCTCTTGGAGTACCGTTTCCGCTCTTAAGAAGGACTGCTAGACATACTACGGTAATTCAGACTTCAGTGTTTGGCTGATATTTCCTTGAAAATGAACACAATGAACCTGTCGTTTAAAGAACAACTGAAATTAGGGAAAATATTTTATTTGGATGGTTTCTATAAACAAGGGACTATAATTCTTGTACATTATTTTTCATCTTTGCTGTTTCTTTGAGCAGGCTCATGTGTCATGCAATTATCTAAGGTATCTGTAAGTATGCTTGTTACCTGAGTAGTTGTATTATATTTAAAAATGTAAGATGATTTTTAAAAGCCTGAGGACTGACCTAAGATGCGATTGTGTGAACTCTGTCTACCCTGGAGGGTGGGAAGGATGTCAGCGGAAGTTTGAAGACTTTTTTTTTGTGCCATCAGATACAGGTAAGAATAATTGGGCAATTCTGCTGTTTAAACAGGAACGATTGGCCTCCTTGGCCCTAAATAGAAGGGCTGATAGGTTTTTTTTTTTTTTGAGATGGAGTCTCGCTCTGTCGCCCAGGCTGGAGGGCAGTGGTGCAATCTCAGCTCACTGTAAGCTCCACCTCCTGGGTTCACATCATTCTCCTGCCTCAGCCTGCCGAGTAGCTGGGACCACAGGCACCTGCCATCAGGCCCAGCTAATTTTATTTTGTATTTTTTAGTAGAGATGGGGTTTCACCATGTTAGCCATGTTAGCCAGGATGGTCTCGATCTGACCTCATGATCCGCCCACCTCAGCCTCCCAAAGTGCTGGGATTACAGGCATGAGCCACTGTGCCCGGCTGGGCTGATATTTTAAGTTGATTATTTTATTGCAAATTAATCCAACCTAATTCTTTTAAATTTGGTTGTATGTTTTTCTTGTTAAATGATGTTTAAAAAATAAAAAACGGCCGGGCGTGGTGGCTCAAGCCACTGCACTCCAGCCTAGGCGACAGAGAGAGACTCCGTCTCAAAAAAAAAAAAAAATAAAATAAAATAAAAAATGGAAGTTCTTGGCTTAGTCATTAAAAGAGAGGAGAACAACTGACAATATTTGTTGCCAATGATAAAATTAAGGCTTTCAAGAGAAAACTGGGAACTTGTAAGACATATATCTGCCTCTGTGAGCCTGACAGCTTCCCAATACTTACAGACTTGAAAATGAGACCAAGAGTGATAATTATGTGATTTCTAAAATGTTGTATAATGAAATGTGCCAGCATTTGGAAGATCTGCCTAACACGGTGAACCCGTATTTTCCCGCATGACCAATGTATGATGTCACAAAATTGTGCATCAAGATTCAAGACAGACCAATGGCTTTCATCAGAGTACAGAAAGTTCACTGGTATCTTTTCAGATTTCACATTGTAGTTAATCTTCAAAAACTATCACTTGCTGAGTTTTAGTGTGGTATCAAAGAAGCATATTCACAATTATCTGAAAAGGTGGTAAAATACTCCTCCCTTTTCCAGCTACCTATTGGTGTGAGGTTGGATTTTCTTCAACCAAAAAACTGTGTCAACAGACAGAATGCAGAAGCAGAGAAAAGAATCCAGCTGTCTTCTATTAAGTCAGACAGTAAAGAGATTTGTAAAAAATACTATAAAACAATGCCACTCTTCTCAGTAATTTCCTATTGTGGAAAAAGAATTATTTTTCATGAAATATGTTATTTATGTTACCATGTAATGGGTTTTTATTGTTTTGGTTTTAGAGAGATGGGTTCCTGCTATCTATGTTGCCCAGGCTGGACTTGAACTCTTGGGCTCAAGCAATCCTCCTATCTGGGCCTCCGGAGTAGCTGGGACTACAGGCATGGGCCACTACTTGGCTATTATTGTTATTTAATTAATTAATTTATTTATTTTTATTTTGTTTTTGAGATGGGATCTCGCTCTGTTGCCCGGCTGGGTGCAGTGGCCGGGCTCACTAGGAAGCTGCCACCTCCTGGGTTTGATGCCACTCTCCTGCCTCAGCTCCCAAGTAGCTGGGACTACAGGCGGCCCGCCCCCGCAGGCTAATTTTTTGTATTTGTTTAGTAGAGATCGGTGGTTTCACGTTTTAGCCAGGATGGTCTTGATCTCCTGACTCGTGATCCGCCGCCTCGGCTCCCAAAGTGCTGGGTTACAGCGTGAGCTCACCGCACCCGGCAATTATTGTTATTTTTGAATAAATATTTTAAAAAATTAATCTTAGGGCCAGGTTCAGTGGCTCACACCTGTAACCCCAGCACTTTGGGAAGCCCAGGTGGGTGGGTCACTTGAGGTCAGGAGTTTGAGACCAGCCTGGTCAACATGGCGAAACCCTGTCTCTAATAAAAATACAAAAATTAGCCATGTGTGGTGACACACACCTGTAGTCCCAGCTACTCAGGGGAGCTGAGGTAGGAGAATCGCTTGAACCCGGGAGGTGGAGGTGGCAGTGAGCCGAGATCGCACCACTGCACTCCAGCCTGGGTGACAAGAGTGAGTGAGACTCCGTCTCAAAAAGAAAAGTTAATATTAATTGCTAAAATAAATATTGATAAATATAATCTATATAACCAAAAGTTAATTGGGGTCCTTAACAATTTTTAAGAGTATAAAGGGATCCTGAGCCTTTTGAGAGCGGACACCCTAGAGAAAGTGTGCACTTGTGTGTACCAGGACCGGGTATAAGAATGTCCACTGTGGGAATATTTACAACAGCAAAAAGCTGGACACACACATGTTCATCTACAGTAGGCGGGATAAACAAATGTCATGTGTCATCTTGATGTATTTCACAATAAAACAGCAATATTTGGAAATGGCCCCAAACTAAACAATCTTGTAAGAATCTTGGCCATGCACAGCGGCTCATGCCTGTAATCCCAGCACTTTGGGAGGCCGAGGCAGGCGGATCACGAGGTCAGGAGATCAAGACCACCCTGGCTAACACGGTGAAACCCCGTCTCCACTAAAAATACAAAAAATTAGCTGGGCATGGTGGCGAGTGCCTGTAGTCCCAGCTATTGGGGAAGCTGAGGCAGGAGAATGGCATGAACCCGGGAGGCAGAGGTTGCAGCGAGCCGAGATCGCACCACTGCACTCCAGCCTCGGGGACAGGGCGAGACTCCGTCTCAAAAAAAAAAAAAAAAAAAATTCTCCCTGCCTCCCAGCACCACAACTGTTCAGAATTCCCAGAGCAGTCAGCATTCCTAGAGAGTGCTCACGGACATAGGCAACACACATGGTTTTGTGTTACCCTCTTTCTTTGTTACCCAAATGGTCACGCACTCTTGCCCCCGTTCTTGCCTCTACCCTTTTCTCTCAGTGCCTGGAGGGACAGGTCTTGGAGATTGTTCTGTCCACCTTATTCCCTTTCGTAGCTGCACAGCATTCTAGTTATAGATGTTTCATAATTTGTAATCCAGTCCCCATGGGTGATAAGACAATCTGTCCCCAGTGTTTGGCCATAACAGACATTGTCTATCCCAAATACCTTCGTCCGTGCATGTCCGTGTACATGGGTGTGTATCTGTGGGATAAATTCGTAGGTATGGAAAGTTGGGGTCAAGAAAGTCCGTTTAAAGCGTTGATGCTAGTGCCAATCTCCCCTCCAAAGCGGCTGCGCCAGCTTCACCCCAGCAGCCATGTGGCGAGTGCCTTCCACAAGGTGTCTAACCTACTAGGTGGCCTTTGCTTATCTGAGAAGTGAAAGTGCAATCTCCTATTTAGTTTGTACTTTTATTAGGTGTGAGGGCAGAAGGCACAATGTTTGCAATTCTGACTTGGATTTAGCCCGTTGGAGGCACCGGCACCCTGCTGGTTGGGCTCCCAGAAGGGCGGGATGGAAATCCCGGTGCGTGGGCTGTGTCCGGAGCACTGGGTCCCGGGAGTTCCCTTACCCAGCCCGGGCAGCGCGCAGCAACCCGCGCTTCCTCGCGCGGCCGCTGGAGGGCACCGGCGCCCACCGAAACGCACCGGGCAGGCGCTGGGGGTCCCGGAGCGCGCCAGGGGGCTCCACCCTCCTCCCGGCCCCGGGTCCTGGCCCACCCGGGCAGCGCGGCCCACGGCCCGTTCCTCCCCCACTCCTCCGCCCTCGCTGGGTGGGCGACCCCCACGTCCTGTACATTCAGGCCCCAGGCTTTCCGGGACTCGGCCGTGGTGGTCGGCCCCCGAGCCGGGGGCGCGTGGCGGGGCGGGCAGGGCCCCTCCGAGCCCACCGGTCCCTCTCCGGGCCACTCCAGCACTCGCCCAGAGAAGGCGCTCGGGCTCCCCCGAGAGCGGCTAGTCACGGTGCGGGTCACTTTGGGGACAGCCCGTCAGCGCCTCCTACCTTTGTGCTGGCCAGAGGGTCCTTGTTCACAAAGGCCTGGACAAACTCTTCCGGCCCGATGTGCCGCAGCCGCTCCTGCAGGGAAGGGGCAGAGTGGGCACAAGAGGGAAGGTATGGGGAGGCGGCCGACTGGGGGCCCTGCCCCGGTGCCCCAGCCCCTAGTCCTCCACACTGGGGCTGGAGACCCTGTTTCAGGTTGTCACAGAGCTCCGCGCCTTCCCTGCAGGAGGCAGCCCCTCCTTGCCCGGTTCATGGGGGAAGGGAGCAATGCTACGGGGCGTGAGCCCAGGGAAACCAGGCTCCACACTAGGTAACTGAAGTGCTGCTTCCTCTGCGGGGCGGGGCGCGCGGGGCAGGGGCGAGTGCTGGTGGCCAGGAGCGTGGCATCTGGGCCAGAATCAAACCCTGGCTCTGTCCCTTCTGCTGTGTGACATTGGCAAGTCGCTTCACCTTTCTGGGCCTTAGTTTCCTCTGTGTACAGGGCCTGCCTGGCCAGGTGATGGAGACATGAGCGAGCGCATGGGAGTGCGCTGGAAAAGTGCCTGGGGAGCAGGGAGGGCTCCATCAACCCTCAGTCTCAAAGGGAAGAACCCGCCCCAGCCTCCCTCTCCCTGGGATGGGCCCTTGGCCTCTGCATCCACGAGAAGCCCAGTGCGTGCTCCAGGCTAGGCCAGGGCCCTCCTTCATAAGCTTGTGGGGCTGCTCCCGGAAGCCAGGAGGGCCCAGTGTATCTGTGTGGGTCCTGCTGAATCCGGGGTCAGGAAGGTGGCTTGGGCCGGCTCACCAGTTCCACGTGGGTCAGCTGCTGGGCCAGTGTGTAGGGGTCGCTGCAGACACCAAGGAGCTCCCTGTGGATGGAGGCTGGCGGCTTGGTCCTGTAGGAGATGGGCTTGTCGGCACTCACCAGACCTTCCGGCCCCTGGCGCAGAGCCGCCAGCTTCTGGTGAAGAGCCTGTAGGAGCTGATGCATCCTCTTCCGGTATGCCTGGTGGGTGGAAAGAGGGGTGCTCAGGCCTGAACACCCATCTCTACATCTCTAACACTGGAGCCAGGCAGCCTCCTGGGCTCCAAAGGGACGGTCTTTTCCTCGGGGTCTCTGGAGAAAAGGCCAGGTACCAGCACAGGGGCCAGGACCTGCCCCTACCCTGAAACAGGACCCAATCCTGGCCAGGTTGGGGCCACCTGGCAAGGGATCTGGGGTGAAGGTTGCAGGGCTTCCCATATGTGGGTGGGAGCCAAGAGGAGCACATGTCAGGGAGGGTGACGGGGGCTGGGGGCAGCTGTCTGGGGTGGTGGGGCAGAGTGGGGTGGGCACAGCCAGGAAGCCAGAGAAAGGGAGAGAGGAGGGAGACGTGGCATGGGCCCTGCCCTGGGCAGACGACTGGCATTTGGCTTGGCTTTAATGGGGCCTCTGTTATCTCCCAGGTCCAGCTCGGCCTTCCCCGACCAGCTGTGCTGTCCTGGCCTCTGCTCCCAGCAGTATTCGTCCAGGTCACCCTGTGCGACTCCTTTTATAGGACCACTGTCGAGACAGTTCGGTTCATTTCCTCCCACACTAGAATAATTGTCGCTTCACCTTTCTGGGCCTTAGTTTCCTCTGTGTACAGGGCCTGCCTGGCCAGGTGATGGAGACATGAGCGAGCGCATGGGAGTGCGCTGGAAAAGTGCCTGGGGAGCAGGGAGGGCTCCATCAACCCTCAGTCTCAAAGGGAAGAACCCGCCCCAGCCTCCCTCTCCCTGGGATGGGCCCTTGGCCTCTGCATCCACGAGAAGCCCAGTGCGTGCTCCAGGCTAGGCCAGGGCCCTCCTTCATAAGCTTGTGGGGCTGCTCCCGGAAGCCAGGAGGGCCCAGTGTATCTGTGTGGGTCCTGCTGAATCCGGGGTCAGGAAGGTGGCTTGGGCCGGCTCACCAGTTCCACGTGGGTCAGCTGCTGGGCCAGTGTGTAGGGGTCGCTGCAGACACCAAGGAGCTCCCTGTGGATGGAGGCTGGCGGCTTGGTCCTGTAGGAGATGGGCTTGTCGGCACTCACCAGACCTTCCGGCCCCTGGCGCAGAGCCGCCAGCTTCTGGTGAAGAGCCTGTAGGAGCTGATGCATCCTCTTCCGGTATGCCTGGTGGGTGGAAAGAGGGGTGCTCAGGCCTGAACACCCATCTCTACATCTCTAACACTGGAGCCAGGCAGCCTCCTGGGCTCCAAAGGGACGGTCTTTTCCTCGGGGTCTCTGGAGAAAAGGCCAGGTACCAGCACAGGGGCCAGGACCTGCCCCTACCCTGAAACAGGACCCAATCCTGGCCAGGTTGGGGCCACCTGGCAAGGGATCTGGGGTGAAGGTTGCAGGGCTTCCCATATGTGGGTGGGAGCCAAGAGGAGCACATGTCAGGGAGGGTGACGGGGGCTGGGGGCAGCTGTCTGGGGTGGTGGGGCAGAGTGGGGTGGGCACAGCCAGGAAGCCAGAGAAAGGGAGAGAGGAGGGAGACGTGGCATGGGCCCTGCCCTGGGCAGACGACTGGCATTTGGCTTGGCTTTAATGGGGCCTCTGTTATCTCCCAGGTCCAGCTCGGCCTTCCCCGACCAGCTGTGCTGTCCTGGCCTCTGCTCCCAGCAGTATTCGTCCAGGTCACCCTGTGCGACTCCTTTTATAGGACCACTGTCGAGACAGTTCGGTTCATTTCCTCCCACACTAGAATAATAGCTCCACGGGGCTGCAAGGTCTGTGCTGCAGCCTCTGTGATGTGAGAGAGCAGCCCTGCTCTGGGCACACAGTGCGTGCAAGGTAGTGCTCACTCCCACCAGCCAGCCCAGATGCATGGGCTCTTGCTTTGGGCCACATCATGGGCTGGGTACAGGGATGAAAGGCCATGGTCACCCCTCAAGGGGCACCTCCTCTCCCACCATCAAGGAAAACCGAATTATTTTCCCTCAGAAACCCCTATTTCCAAGGAAGTGCCATCAGACTGGCTGGGTTTGTTAAGGGAGACGTCCTCACGTCCTCGAGGGTTTTGGTCTAACTCACAGAGTGAGATGAAATCCCCTATAGCCACGAGCTGGCCCGGGCACTGGCAGAGGCAGTGGTGGGAGCTGGAGCCTGGTCCCCAGCGATGGCGAGCATTGACTGGACAGGCTGCGTGCTCCCAGAGGCCTTGGGAAATAACGAGGGGTGGTGGGAAATAAGGAGGGGTGGGCGGTCGGTATCAGTAACGAGGGGCGGGCGGTCGGTATCAGTAACGAGGGGCAGGCGGTCGGTATCAGTAACGAGGAGTGGGCGGTCAGTATCAATAACGAGGGGTGGGTGGTTGGTATCATCAGGTCACTTATGAGATTGCAGGGAGTGTTTCTTCACGCAATTTTGAGACACACAGAGCCTGCTGTGAGAGGTGGGCAGGCGTGGTATCTGCATGCTGGCTGTGAGGGTCTGGGGGCTCCAAATGCTCCGGGGAGCCTCAGACAGGGTGCTGGGGTGCTGCTGCTGTCTGAGGACTGCTGGAGCCCTGTGCTCTGGTGGCAGGGTTGGTAGTCATCTGGCACTCCTATGGCAGTGCTTCTCTGTGGAGTGGCCACAGGCCACTGTGGCAGAGCCTCAGATGGGAGGAATGGGACAGGAGGTGGCTTAACCCTAAGCCTAACTCTCAGAGCACAGGGGCCAGGTGCAGACGGCACCCACTAGTTAGCTGGGCAGTGAGTGGGGAAGCTGAGGTCCGACTCGTCTATCTGTTGCCCATGGAAGGAACGACCCCTCTCAGGAAGGCTGTGTCCAAAACTGGTCAGCACACTGCCTCCCAGGGCTTCATCTGAGTGCTGGGAAGATGAGTGGGGCACAGTCACTGCCAGTCCTGGGGGGCACGGTCAGTCCCCCGTGGGCCCTGGCCCTTCCACTGACCTCCTGTCTCTCTCCCAGGCACAGCCAGAGTCCCACGAGTGGCTAAACCTGCTGTTTCATCGCCGCACCTCCCGCTCACTCCTGGATCACTTCACCTGGCGGCCACTCCCATCCGTCAATTCACTGGGCCCTCCTGTCACCAAAGCCAGTGGCCGTTTCTCAGGCTGCGTCTTCCTTGGCCACCTCCGCCTCAGGCTCCTGGTTGCTCCTGCCTTGGGCTGTTGGCAGGCTTGCCTGTGTTCACCATCGTGGGATGCTGGGGTTTGGGGTTCTTCCTGCTCGGTCTAGGCCTCTCTTCCCTTACTTAGCTCCTGGCTATTCTGGTTCACAGCCGCAGTCTCCCTCTGATCTCCAGAGTCATATGGGTGGCAGTCCCTCAGATGGCCCACGGTCCTCTGTTTGCCCAGCGCAGCAGATGGAGGTCGGCTCTCCTTGTCCAAAGCTGGTATTCTCGGTGTTGGTGGACAGCGCGTCAGCCACCACACAGGCTTGGTGCCATCCTCGACCCCGCCGTGTCCCTCATTCCCCTCTAGGCCGTCGCCACCCTTCTCTATTTCATTTTCTTCTATTTCTGTGCATCCCATCACTGTCTCCGGAGGCCAGGCCACTGCCATCTCTCTGGCTGCCCTGGCCTCCTTAGTGCCGCCAGTGCATCCACGCCGGTTTCTCTCCACTCTGTAGGCAGAGTGGTCTGTTCAAAATGTAAATCTGATCGCTGCCTCCCTCTTCCTGAAAATGCCTCCATGGCTTGTGCAAAGACAGGAGCCCTGGTGTGACTCTGAGGCCCTGAGGTCAGCTCTGGCCAGGCTTGGTGGCGTCTATGCGTCCTTGCTCCCCCTCTGTGCTCTGGACACAGGTCACTCCTCCACCCCTTTGACTCCTTCCCACCCTCCCCATGTCCCCAGCAGGATCTGGACAGCTTTCTCCCTTCTGGCATGTTCTCATCCACTGGACCGAAGCTCAAGTGCCGCTTCCCCAGAGGGGCCACTGGCGTTCAGTGCCGTGAACTCTGCTGCCACACCACTTCAGAGCTGTCGGGGAAATGCTTCTGTTCACGTGCACCTCCTCTCCCGGGCCCACAGGCTCCACGCAGCCAACCACCGGCTGCCCTGTGTTCACGAAGGGCCGTAGCTGGCTCACAGGAGGTGTCCACGAGCGTCTGCCGAATGCGTGGATAAACAGTGTTTGCACCTGCTGACAGTCAGACACTCTCTCCAGCAGGGTGTCAGGGCGGACTGCAGGCCGTGCCAAAATCAAGGCTGCTGGGTGTCTGTGCCTACCGCTTGATAGGGCCACGAGATTGCCTTGTTTTTTAAAAATGCAGATACTTTAGCACGATTTGTTACTGTTGAATGAACCAATATTCATTCCAAATAATCATCCTTTCCTGCTTGCTAATTTATTTCAATTTTTCCAGTGGCGTTAGGTTCTAGCTTATGTTTGTTCTTTCCCGACTCTTCTACGCCCCCTCTGAATGTGGGGGTGCTCTCTGCCCTGCTCCTTGGCCTCTTCTCATTTTCTGATTTCTGCACACTCGTGGACAGGGGCTCGGAGATCTCCCCGGTAGACATGGCAGGGCCAGAGACCTGAACCACAGAGCATGTCAAGGTGTTCCCTTGTCACTACGGTGGGTCCACGTTTATGGAGCCCCAGGCTGTGCTGGGGTGGAACAGCACTTTGCCCCTCCTGCCTCGGGCTGAAGCCCTCCCTCCGCACCGATCACAGCTGGGAGGCTGCCCGGGAGGCTGGGAGCTCTGGAGCCGCGTTTCCTTCTATTTCCACAAGCCATCTGCTGCATGCATACAGCTGGGTGTGAATGCAGAGTCGTCCAAGGGTGGCCTGGGTGGTGGCCACGGCTCTCCAGGTGCCTCCAAGCTCTCTTGGACTGGGCATTTCACAGCTGGAACCCCTGTCCCTGACCAGATAAGCACTGGCCTCTGTTCTCTGAAATTCTTGGAGACTCCCTCCTGAGCCAGCCTAGGGCCCATGTCCTCCTGCCTATTAAATAACAGGCAGAGGTGGCAGAAAGCTGACGCGGGAGCTCATGAGGCTCCTGGGGGTCTGCTCCCTCCGTGGGTTTGTTCTCTGTGTCAGTTTTCTGCCACCTCTGCCACACAGGGAGCCTCAGAGGGCTGTGGTCAGTTCAGCAGACAGTCCGTTTGGGTGAGTTAGAAAGCAAGACCAGGCCGGGCGCGGGGGCTCCTGCCTGTAATCCCAGCATGCCGGGCGCGGGGGCTCACACCTGTCATCCCAGGACTTTGGGAGGTCGAGGCAGGCAGATCACAAGGTCAGGAGTTTGAGACAAGCCTGACCAACATAGTGAAACCCCATCTCTACTAAAAATACAAAAATTAGCTGGGCGTGGTGGTGCACGCCTGTAATCCCAGCTACTGAGAAGGCTGAGGCAAGAGAATCGCTTGAACCCGGGAGGTGGAGCTCGCAGTGAGCCAAATCACACCACTGCTCTCCACCCTGGGTGACAGAGTGAGACTCCGTCTCAAAAAAATAACCAGCCCAGGAGAGGGGCTGCCTGTTGAGTCGGCCTCCTCTGTGGCTGGCCCAATGGGTATGGCCAGAGCACTGGGGTCCTCCCTGGCTCCCCGAGCCTCCTTCAGCCTCAGCACTGGCCTCCCTGAGCTCTAACTACTGCATTAACCAGGAAACTGGCTCAGAGAGGGAAAGCACCGTGCCCGAGGTCATGCAGCTGTGGTTTCCGAGTCTGAATCTGGGTGGGCTCAGGCTGGGTCCCAGGCCCTGCCTCATCAGTCTGTCCCAGGCTCTTCCATCCTGAACCATTCTGCGCCAGGAAGGGAACAACCCACAGTCCACAGCAGCGCCCGGTGAGGAGAGGCAGTGCCCAGAGAAGGTCCTCTTCGGAGTGCATGCTTTTGTGTGGAAGGGCACCTCAAGGTCACCAGAGGCACGGGGAAGCACCCCTGGCCAGGGCCTGGGCTGGGAGTGGGGAACTCCTATTCCAGTCCATGCTACACAGCCTGGGGACAGACCTGTGGGTCCAGGTGGATAGGAGCTACTGGTTTCCTGAGGGGAACTATGCCAGGGCTTACCCCCAGCCCCACCACCGAGACATGGCTCCAACATCAGGCAGGTAAAATCTGCCTGGTCATATGACAGACCTCACCGCTGACACTTGGGGGTCAAAGGGAACAAAGCAGGAGACTGGGGTCTCACCCCTGCATATCATCGACCCAGCACCCACCATCCCCACACTCACCTCTTCTCCAGCCAGTGCTACCAGCCACCTCCCCTTCTATACAGTGACCCACCCCAGATCCATCAATTCACTCCTCTCCCCTTCCTTCCTTCCAACATCTGCCCACTCACTCATTTACTGCCCACTCACACATCCACTCGCCTACCCATCCATCCACCATTCACTTTCATTCATTCATCCCCATCCACCTGTCCCCTTCTCTTCACCCAGCTATCACCCACCTCTCTTTTATAGTGACCTCCAACCCCCCAACAGAACCATCAATTCACTCATCTACCCTTGCTCCCTCCTTTCCAACATTCACCCCCTCAACCACCTACCTTCCCCTCCATCCATTCACCCATCCACCCACCCACCCATCCACCTTCCCCTCCATCTATTTACCCATCCACACACCCACCCATCCACTTTCCCCTCCATCTATTCACCCATCCACCCACCCACCCATCCACCTTCCCCTCCATCTATTTACCCATCCACACACCCACCCATCCACCTTCCCCTCCATCTATTCACCCATCCACACACCTACCCATCCACTTTCCCCTCCATCTATTCACCCATCCACCCACCCACCCATCCACCTTCCCCTCCATCTATTCACCCATCCACCCACCCACCCATCCACCTTCCCCT